TTTATTCAGCTAATCAGCTTTATATATACTAATGTATTTGTCCGCAAGTTAAAAAAATTAAAATTAAAAAATAATTAAAGGCATAATTTGTGTGAAACAAAATGAAAAACAAAATGAAATTGTTTAATAATCAATTAACGTGCTATTACATAAAGTTGAGAATAAAACATTGTTTATTCCTAGACATAACTTGATCATTATCAGATTAGCAACTTAAAAGAGAGAGATACTATTTAAGTTATGGTCCTTTATATACCTCATGCAACAAATTTTTCAAGAGAATAAGAGATGCCCCATGCTTACAATTTAAATTTAAAATCCACACCTCATCCCTTATACTCAAAGGGTGAAGTTGATAATGAAGTAATTGCAATATAAAACATTTGCACAACATAGGCAGAGAAAAATATAAACAATCACAGTTGAAAGGGAGAAAAGATTAAAAAACAGAAAAGCTAATATGAAACGATGTTATTAAAATGAAAATATATTTGCACTGAATAAGTGTGATATCCAATAGAACCAGTGAGGTCTTTTAGGATATTTAGAATATTGATACTCAAATGTTATCAACTTGTTACGGTATTAATTAATTCTTTTTTTTCTTGCATCTTTCCTAATGTTTGGTCTTGCCATTGTTCCCAGTAGCATGATAGTTAATCAATTCTACATAATCATTTCATAAAAGTAACAAATGAAGGGGTGAGTGACTCTCACATTGTTCGAATACAATACAATAACTTGTTATAAGATCTTTTGAATATGTCATTATGTTTCGAATGAAGATAATAACTAAGCAATGCTTCTTCAACACCAAATACCCTCATTGGCATCTCAAGAAACGTGGGTCTGAGTAAGTGCTAACATCAGCACTTTTATGCCTTTAAGGCATTGAAAAAAGCCTCACATTTCAATATATTTACCAATATGTACCAGTGAATTTATTGTAAAAAGGTATAAAAGAAGGGGCAAATAAAACTTTGAAAAAGTACTGCATTATCAACAAAAGGACACTATAGGAATTAGAGGGAAAAAATCATGAAATGCACAATTCCCAAAGCAAATTGTATAAGCATTCACAGCAAAGTATATAACATAATTACATAGTAACTTACCAAATTACCCTTGTCTAGGAAATTATCAACAAAAGGACACAATAGGAATTAGAGGGGAAAAATCATGAAATGCACAATTCTCAAAGCAAATTGTATAAGCATTCACAGCAAAGTATATAACATAATTACATAGTAACTTACCAAATTACCCTTGTCTAGGAAGCAAGCATGTTGACGAACAGCTGCTTCCTAGACTCTTCTATATATTAGTAATATAGAGAATTGATTATAAAATCAATTGTATATCATTCTTAAATGTATATCACTTGAAGTTCCATCCAAATGCTTCTGGGATTCCCTGAACATGAAATTGGAGAAATTAATACATTTTCTTAAACACAAGACCTTTAAAACTGGAGAAATTGAAAAGCCAAAGGTTTGGCTATTAATTAGCATTATGTGTTAGTGCTACTACGTTGGATGAAGCGGTTAATTGGGCTTTAATGCAAATTATTGTTACGTGAACTTCCTAGGCTTTATTGTTACGTGGGCTTCCTATTAGCATAAATATTAGTAAAAATTAGTCAAAAAACATAGTATAAGAAAGAAATTACTTCCTTTCCCTACTTTTTCATTAATTACCAAAAATCCCTTTTTTTTAGTGTTTTTCGGATACATAATATAGCAGCGCGGATACTTTAATTAATAACGGGCGGATACTTAAATTATTAAGTTGTTGTTATCAATTATTAAATTAATAGCAGTGTGGATACTTAATAACGGGCGGATACATAATATAGCAGCACGGATACTTAAATTAACGGGCGGATGCATAATATAGCAGCGCGGATATTTTAATTAATAACGGGCGAATACTTAAACTAATAAAGTATCCGGTTAAGTTGAATTGGGGGAAAATAAGGGATTTTTGTAGTTTAGTAAAAGAATAGGGAAATATTGAGAATAGGTAAAGAAGTGTTGTGTATTTAAGTAATTTTTCCTAAATATTAGTCATTTGCATTTCTGTTAAGTCACAAGTTATTTTGTTTGTATTTTCTTAAGCTATTTAATTATTTATTATATATGGATTAAAAAATGCAAAGAAAAAAAAAAGATAAATAGGAATGTTAGCCCTTGAGATGTGTCACATCACCTTTTCTACATTCAGCTTTATATATAGAGAGAGAGATATATTTGCTTAGTTTCCCCTGTATATAACCACATCACACACTAGTCTACTATCTAGAAAAAGAGAAGGCAAGGACGACCAAGGGTAAGTATGTCAGTTAAATATATCATATTGGGGCAAAAAAGGTAATTTTGATTATTGAGTATCATAAATGTGATTGTTTCATGCATGCACCTTTTCTTCTATGGGACTACTAACCAGGATTCAATTACTTTTTTGTACATGGTCCCATATTTTTTTCACAATTTGTAGCCTTTTCAATTTACAAGCCACCCACATGGCTATTTTACAACAGTGCATTTTGTTTTGTTAGCTATCATAACAACAACAAAAAATTGATAGTACATTCTAAATTTTAAATATTTGTTTTACTCTTAATAAAATAACTTATAGTCATATAAATATTTATTACTTCATTAAGAGCTGAGTTTTTAAGGTTTTTAAAATTTCGTGTCAAATTAAATTACATCATATAAATTGAAACGAAAAAATATTAAGTAGTAAAAAGTAATACTCCTTAAGTCCCATTTCATACAAACTTTTCTTTTTAATTCATCCCAAAAAAAAATTACCTTACTATAATAAAAAAATAATTTAACTTTAAAATATCTAAGGGACATCTTAAATCACAAATTTCAAAATTCCTCATTTTTTTATTTAAATATTGTATCAAATCAAATGATGTCACGTAAAATTAAATGGAAGGAGTAATAATCTGGATCTATTATACTCCTATATCTTTACTTTTGTTTCCTCACATGTATTTACTTGTTCCTAATTCTATAAATGGAAGTCTTCAGTAACACTAGATATTACATAAAACAAAGAAAAGGATGAATAATGCACTAATTCTTCTATGGGACTAAAAAACAAAATTCATACTTTTTTTTGTACGTGGTCTCATATCTTTTCATACTTTGTAGCCTTTTCAATTTACAACCCACCCACGTGGCTATTTTACTGAAAATGCATCTTGTTTTTTTAGCTATTATAGCACAAAAAATATAAATATTTATTTAACTCTTAATAAAATAATTTATAGACATATAAATATTTTATGACTTAATTAAGATCATAATATTTTTAAGTTTGTTTCAAAATTTCATGTCAAATTAAATTATATCACATAAACTGAAATGAAATAAGTGTTCAGTAGTAAAAAGTAGTACTCCTTAAGTCTAACGGACTTTTCTTTTTTATCCGTTCCGCAAATGTTACTTTACTATAATACGAAATAACTTAACTTTAAAATATGGACAAATTACTTAACTACACTCCTTTACTTACCTTAATATACATTTATCCCTATTTATTTCAAAATTTTCAAAAATCCCTTATTTACCTATGTATCCCACATGTATTCTGTGCACAAAGCTATGTATCCCGCTATGTGGAATGTATCAAACGCTATGTATCCTGCATGTATCCCGCATGTATCCTGCATGTATCCCGTGCACAACGCTATGTATCCCGCTATGTGGAATGTATCAAACCTAATGTATCACTTGCACAACGCTATGTATTCCGCTATGTGGAATGTATCAAACTTAATGTATTTCGTGTACAACGCTATGTATCCCACAAACATCATTTTTAAGGGATTTTTGGTAAATAAAAAACTTGAAGGGATAGAATGTTATTTAGTACTTATAATATGTGGTTCCTATAATTTATACTTAAAATATCTATAAAATAACTTAGACCACAAGTTTAAAAAATTCTCATTTTCTACTTAAACAGTGCATTAAATCAAATAATATCACATTAAATTAAGTGGAATGAGTATAGAATTGGAGTTATTATACTCCTATATCTTTACTTTTGTTTTCCTCATATGTATTTACTTGTTCCTAATTCTATAAAGGGAAGTCTTCAAACTAGAATGACATACAACAAAGAAAATAATGAATGATTTTCAACTATTACTTCGAAAGACTTAATATCTAACGAATATTAAAATTAATATAGTGATTATGCTGAAGAATTATATGCATCCTGTTACAAATTCTTTGTTAGACAACTTTGTTTGATTTCTTGTACATTGTGATAGTTTATTTTTTTATTAATTAATTTATTATGAAAGGTAGAAAATGTATAAAGAAATCATGTGTAGATTCTCCTATAAATATAAGTTTATTCTCATTTTATCATTTGCTTAATTAAAAAAATATTAGCCCAATAAATTTTACACAATCAACAAAGAAACTACATTTTTCATCTCAATCCATATTGTTGTGTGTGGATTTCTATATAAATTTAATTGGAAATATTTGTTGTGGAGACAAGATTTCATTAAGGAGATTCAAAGTAAACAGACGAAGAATTCGAAGAGATGCAACATCAATTATATAAAATCATAAAATCATAAAATCATATTTTGAACTTATATGTATATGATATATTATGTAGTTTTATTTTAATGGGGTTTTATCCTTGAAGAGCCCTAGTGGTAAGTAAATTAAATGGTTGAAAATGAAGTATATTTCAACAACTTCGACCTACTTTCCTGATGGCAATAAATGCATTAAGAGGGTGGGTTGTGGAATAAAAAAGAAGATATACCCCCCCTCCCCCCCTCGAT